CCCCAAAACCCCAAAACCCCAAAACCCCAAAACCCCAAAACCCCAAAACCCCTTCTCTCTAGAAATTTCTTGAAATTATAAAAATAAAATTAAGTAGTCATGAGTATGACTTTTTTGGAGATGTGCAAATACTCCACCTTCAAAAATAAGAACAAAAACAATGATGACGACAATGATAACAATAAGAAGTATAAAACCGACTTTGACATTGAAGAGAGCATTCATGATAATTATGTTAGATTAGAGAAAGACAAAGTAGATGACCAATCCATCATTATTCCTGCAGGGTTTAAAACTCAGATCCATAGTCAGGGTTACAAGGAACTTTTGCAAGCTATTCTAGATTATTGTAGAGAACTTTTTAGACTTGAGGACAAGCAAAAATCTCTAGAAATTGAAGCAAAGAGTAGAGGGCTACCTGTTCCTCAAGTTCTTCCATCAGAGAAAAGAAAGTTACAAGAGAAAGCCAGGAAAATGGCTTTGAAATATTCTTTCATCATTTTCCAACGGAAGTCAGAGGCATCTAGACCAGGCTTATCTCTCATTGAGTATACAAAGGCTAAAGTAAAAGCTGTTGGAAATCAGAAAGCTGATAAAGACTTTTATGAAACTCTAATTCTTTTCACAGCTAGAGTTCTTCAGCCAGCTTTTGAAAAATAATGTATCTAAACTCGAAGTTGAATTGAGCAGACTTTTTAGAACAAATGCTTTCAATATTACTGAGAGGACACAAGCTGAAAAGAAGAGACTCGAAAAGTATCCTCAATTGAGACCTCCTCAGAAGAAAGAAGACACTAAAGAGCTGATTTCTAGGTATGCTATGAAAGCAAGAGTGCCAAATGAGAGCTATCATCATTCTTACATCAAGCAAAAGACTGAGATAAGACCTCTGTTTTATAAGCTAACCCCTCATGGAGCTACTAATGCTAGGTCTCCACTAATCTCTTTATTGTTCCCTTCTATGAAGGACAAGATCAGAGTTTTTGAGGAAGAGAGCAAGAAGAGAAATGAAGCTAAAGGCAATAGATCAATGATCGTCAAGCCTACAGAGCTTGATCAGATCATTGAACAGGAAAGTAGGAAGAAAAAGAAAAATTTAAACCAGACTGTAACAGATTACTTGTAATTCTTCATATTTTCAATATTATTTACTTCTTTTGGGGTTTTGGGGTTTTGGGGTTTTGGGGTTTTGGGGTTTTGGGG